ATACTTTATGACCATCTCACTTGCATCACCAGTCTACTGAATGCCTTGTGATTGAAAGGAAATGCACTAAAAATTGCTGTCTTTGAACACTACCTGGCTTTCCTGAGCCACTCTGCCATTTAAAATCCCAAGTATTGAAAATCAGAACAAACAGAAAAACTCTCATAAAAGAAAAACAGTGCTCTCCCATTCATCTCTTCAAATAAGTACAGTTCAAAGTAATATAGAAAATGAAAAATGAATTCTACCACAACACACACATCAAAAAGTGCTGGAGGCTACATGACATCATATCTGTATTCTTCAAGACAGAATTCTATCACTTAGAAATATAAAACAGTTTCCTTCCATTAAGCCTGCACTGTGCAAAAAAGGTGTCATCTTGCCAAGGCTAAAGTGCCTTCAGAGGAAAGAGTGAAAGCGTCTTCCACAAATCCTCTCTGGTCATTTCAGGACAAAGCACAGAAGTGCGCCAGAGGGATGGATCGTCTTACCCGTTGACCAACCATTCCTTATGGAGATCTACGATTTGCATAGTAAGCTAGACAGAGCATGTTCCTACTATTAAAAAAATGTCTAGACTGTATCAGGCCAGACCTTGCAGTACTTAGAAGGCAAAGGTAGTCAGATATGCTTGTTTATTTCAAGCCAAGATATCATAAACTAAACCACAAGAGCAAATTCTGCATGATCACCTCAGCCCATTCCTATAACTCTGTAGAGGAAAATTTACAGCTCTTTCAAAATCCAATGTCTATAAAGACAGAACGCCTTGAAGGAAGATGGTACCATACTTAAGATAGTGATATCTTTTATTAGTACAGTAAAGTCCTATTTTTATGGAATAGGATGGGTCTGAGGTCATTCCATAAAATTGATTTCCCAGAAAATGGAAATAGGCAATTTACCCTAAGAATTTTATTGAAAAATTATGCTATTCTATTTGAATAATGATGGGAATGTTCTACACATTTCCTTTATTAATGAATTAAAATACACAAAACACCATAAAATTATATTAGAGGTTCAAAAGTATCACTTAAATCTTCTTTACCAGTCACTTTCATTTTGTAAAATCAGCAGTTCCATTAAAATCGTATTATGTAAAAATGGGTTTTTACTGTAATAATAGTTATTACCTATTTAGCTCCCAAGGATGTTGTGAAAATTAAATAATAAGCCATTGGAAAGCAAATACAAAGTGTCGCTAATACCAGGGGCCAAGGGGGCAGGCAGATGGGAGAGTAGAGGAAAAGGGCGCCCTGATGCACCACACATCACGGCTTTCGTGTGTAATTCCATTACCTCCCATGCTCCGGTGGTGGCCATGCGTGCTGATGTGTCTCATTTAACCTCCCTAATGTTGTGATATGTACTAATTACAGCCTCCCTAGTATAGATGAGGGCGGGAGCCCTTTCAGTGATTCTACACCATTGGCAAATGTCAGAGCCCTACCATGACTTCAGGCTTATCCCTTATTCACCAATGGACCCCTAGCCTCCCTTTTTGTCGCATAATCATGCCTTGACTTTTTTTTTTTTTTTTTTTTTTGTGGCACTGGGGATTGAACTCAGCCCCTCGCACTTGCCAGTTTAGCGCTTATTCTACTGAGCCAGCTCCCCGGCCCCTGTACCTTGATTTCTTGCCCCAGCCTTCAGGGTTCATTATAACTGTCCCTTCTTAATTGTGCCCCCTTCCCCTCTACTCACACCAGACAGTATGATTCTAAACACATTCTGTGTTTATTATGGCTGTTGGTTGTATTATACGTTGTATGTTTTGTTAAGCCAGGTAAATCACCAACTCTTGAGATTATAGCCGTATCTAATTTGCCTATGGCATCCAGATTGTACATACTGTTTTGTAAATATTTTTAAGTGCAATTGGAAAGGGGCTTTCATTTGAAGTATGGCCGTACTTGCTGCCAGCTGCAAAGTTGGTGCGCTTTTCACTGTATTAGATTCCTATTTACAAAGTCTCTCTAGTTTTTCCAAGAGAGTTTGATGAGATTAAATTCCTCCAGTAGAGCATCTTACAACCATACACATTCTATTGGCAGCATTTTTGTTTTTAATCCCTAGTGAAGGGAACAACATAAACGCTAAACAGAGAGGGAAAAGTTTAGCTTGTGTCTGGTTTCTGTCCACACGAGCAGGTAGACATGGCGACTTCAGAAAGAAAGAGGACATGCAAAAGAGCTCTGGCCCAAACTGATTTCCTGTTCAGCCTTCTTGACTTCTGAGTGGGTAAGACTTAAGCAAGCTCTGCAAGCTCTGCATCCAAGTTTTTCATCTGTAAAAATGTAAATGAGAACAGGATCGTCTTATAGAGTAGTTGTCTGAGTGGGAAAAGTTAACGCGGCTCCCTTGGAGGCACAGCACCCAGAACACACGAGGCCCTCAGAGGATGCTGATTGCTCCCCAGTATGAAATCTCTTCATGTTTCTTGGGAATCTGTTCCACAGATTTGCCACCACTTTCCACCAACTCATGAAGTCTTATCTGCGTATTTGTCAACCCCAAAGTTTCACTTTTGTTATCAAGTCATGGATGGCCCCCTGAGCCCCTGACGTCCACTTCCTGGGCACCCATCCTTCTGCCCAGACTCAAAGAAGACGGAAAGTGAAGGAAACACAGACAGCTTCTGCAAAGATGAAGCTCTCAGAGAGGCAAAGCCCCAAGTGGAGGAAATAAAGATGCTGCCTAACGGCCCATCAGAGGAGGTCAAAATACCAGCTAAGATTTGTCAGAGGTCAGAAGGCACAGCAGAGCAGTGCCTGCCTAGAATACAAACCTAAGCAGCGCGATGGATTCCAGCGCTGCCAACAGCAGGCAACGTCCCCAGAGTAGGAGACAGCGACTGCAGAGCGAAGATCCCGTCCCACACACGAACATCTCCTCACTCATTTACCTTTCCACATGAGGAGCAAAACTCACACATAGGAAGTGGGTATGTTTGACGTCTTCATTTCCCTTGCCACACAAACCCCAAAGGGCAAACTGACTAGAAGATGCCTTCTATAACTAATGTCCATTGTCACACACACCCCTGCCTCCAATCTCTGCCCTGCAGGACAGGTTTATGCTATTTAAGGACAGCTTTGTGGAGAGCTCAGACCCTGTGCTTTGAGCAAATCATGAACAGAGGAGTACAGGACACTGGAGACTGTCCCCAGGACAAGGGACATGTGACAGATCCTGTCTTGCACAATGCAAAGCAAGATGGCTGAGATTGCTCCTCAGCATAAAAGCCCCAAAGGGTACCAGAAGCTTGGCAACCTTCAAAAGCTTTTGTTCCTTCCTGTGTAGGGTACGGGAAACAGATTGCTCAGTGGAAAACACCATAGCCCAGGGCAAATCCAATAGCGAGATTTATCAAAGAGATGGCAGAGACAGAACAGATTTTTCTTTTCCGCATAGGAATGACTCATGAACTAGTTCATGCAAAACGTTACATCCTCCACTGAAGAGGGCCAGACAATGGGAAAGTTAGATGATAATAGTAATTCAAGGTTTGGGGGGCAGCCTGTACCTCTCTCCTGTTCAGACCAAGTTCCAGAAAGAGGCCAGTGTGATTTTGTTTTATTTGGGCTCCATCCTGCCTTTGCAAAGAAAGCAAACACTGTAACTACTCTTCTCATTGTACTTCCTTTGGTCCTTTAAGAAAGGAAATGTGCTTTTTTGCTGAATCATAAGGACTTGGATTCAAACTGTTTGGGTCCAAATCATGACTCTGCTGAGTTAAAAGCTCTGTGACCCTGGAGGAGCTACCTAACTGCCGTGGGCCTGTTTCTCTGTCTGTACACATGAAGGTAGCAGTACTACTGACGTCAGGGTGTTATTTCAAGGAATAAATCAGCACACAAAGAACAATTCCCGGCATGGGATTCATGCACAGTAAATGTCTGATGTCATGATTACTACATCACGGCTGGCCAAGGGAGATGCCGACCCTTCCCTTAAGGGGTACCAAGTAAACCACAGGAGTTTGGAACTCGGGAGGAACTATAATTATTCTACAAAAAATGTTCTCATCTCAGGCCAGTGAAATTTTTTGGAGACTTTTATGAAATCACTATTAAGTAAAAAGAGTATTTTAAGTATGGGTATTTGTTTGTGTGTAGCTTAAGAATTGTCTTTCTTAGGGCCGGCCTGATAGCTCAGAGGACTAAAGTGCCTGCTTAGGCAGAACATAGCGGCCTGGGTTCAATTCCTGGCCTGCCGAGCTGGCCCCACCCCCGGCGTGCAGAGATGGTGATTGAGACTAGGCATGGTGGTGCGCACCTGTAATGCCAGCGCTTGGGAGGCTGAAAACAGGAGGATCACTACAAGTCCAATCTATGCAGTGAGACCCTGTAGTCCCTGTAGACCCCGTAGACCCTGTACTAAATACAGAAGAAAACAAAAAGAAAAAAAGAAAAGAATTATCCTTCTTCCGTACTGTGATGGCCAACCTTTTAGGGCTTTCAGTGATGCAAACAGCCTCTGTGGCACTCGGGCCATAGGGTTTCCACCACTGTTATACATTGCCTTTCCAGGAGGTGATTCTAGACACGTGGATGGATATATAGGAAGATGATTTGCTACCTCATTTCTCTAGGATTTTGATAAATTATGGTAACAGACAGTTTTCCATTTATCCCAGTCCTGTACATAAAACTTCACAAAAGCAGAAAATAAACATGTATGAATTATTTTCTTCCTTGTCATTGGGGTTCTTTTGACCCATGAGGAACATTATCCAGTTGGTAGTTATTTGATCTCCTTTTAGGACAACACTGTTTCACTTTTAATAAGTGTAGGTGGACTATTTGTTCTGGATTTCATTGAGCCATGAAGTTCTCCTCCTATGTTAGTCTCTAAAACAGGGTCACGATGAGTAAGTGTCACATTATGTTTATTCTCTTTGTGTGTGTACGACATAAACAAAATATAACCTCCAATCAGCTTGGGCCTGGTCCGGGCCGCCTGTGATTAACCCCATCCGTGGTTATACTCACTGGGGAGAATCAGGACGTCCTCGCCAGGGCCTGGGATGGTGCGGCTGTGTCCTCCCCAGCCTTCCTCGACGCCCTGCCACGTTTCAGGGAGGGACCATTTCAAAGCTGATGCAGGTGCAGAGGTGGAAGCTAGGAAATAAAGAACAACAGGGCTCATGTTGATAATTTTCAAACTCTATTCTTATTTTAGGAAGCAAGTGCTTTTCTTCCCCTCAAATAGATACTTTTTAATATTATATAAGATTTCATAAAATATAGGTATCAGCCAGAAAGCAAATAATTATCCAACCCTTAGATACCTCCACTTCTGGGAAAAGGGCCTTTTGATATGTTTAAACACTTGTGTTTTGTTTTATTATAAACAGTACATAGGCCTATGATGGATTATTTGGAGAATGTATGAAAAGAACGTAATAATTTCCTGCAATCTTCCACATAGTGATAACTGCTGGCAAACTCACTTGCATTCCCTTCTAGAATTTTTCCATCTATGTACTTGTGATTATACCATGTCCAGTTCTTTTTCTTCCTTTCAGAAAGAATAAAATTTTTTTAAAAAATACAGCATTTCATAAAACAAGATGATAGCAATTCAAAAATTATTATTACATTATATATTGCTATCTTTAAAGTAGTTGTTCATATCCAACTACTTTAAAGATAGCAATATATAATTATCTATCTTTAAAGTAGTTGTTCAGATCCACAAATATAACATGTAAAATTGGTCAAAAAATTAAGCATTAGCTATTCCTTTCAATAAACCAATAGACTTATAAAAGCCAGTGTGGTGGCAAGTGGATAAGTTTATCTTTCTCTATAGCTGAGTAATATTCCATTGTAGAAAAACACCACATCTTTTTATCCATCCCTCAGTTGACAGGCATTTGGGTTGGCTCCAGGATGTAGCGATGACAGATTGTGCTGCTGTAAACATGGGTGCATACATATCAATGTGGTGTGCAGTTTTCAGTTCTTCTGGAAAAATACCCAGGCAGGGAATAGCTGGGTTGAATGAGATCTGCAAGCCTAGTTTTTGAGGACTCTCCACAATATCCAGTTCTTATGCTTGCAGCTCCCTGTGATTTTGCATAGCTTCGCCATTTTTCCTATGCATTTTCTAAAACCATTAAACTCACTGTAAAGACAATCTGAGCGACTTAATAATGAATGGCCTATCATATTAAAAATCTGTAATTTCCTTAACCTCTGATGTTTGACACGTAGGCTCTGCCATAATGTACCTAGAAGTTGCCCTTTAATCTCCGTGGATGACTGATAATTCCAAGGATCATTAGGTACACGCAGAGAGTGCCTGCTGCACGAACCACAGGGAGCACTCAGCTGTTCTAACAGCCCAGACCCCAGGGACGTGGTCTGGAGCCCAACACACAGACAGGACGTAGACTGCGGCCAAATGCAAAGCATGAGCTGCATAATGAGCACAGGGTAAGCTGTACCATGGAAGTACGGCAATGCCTGGAGAAAGCCTACAGAAAAGCTTAGGAATGTTTCATCAACAATACCGTGGTAGCTTCCTAAGTTTTCTTCCAATTTTGCTTTCTTCTTAATATAAACGTTCAAACAGGGATAGAATGAGGGTACTTGTTGGGGTGGCCAGCCAGGGTGTTCCAAGTGCCCCATTGCCAAACCTCAGACACCCATGGTTACTTACACTTTGTATCAGAGATGGTAGAAACATCCCTCATTTTTGCCATCTTCATTCTCATTTTCAGGAAGCCCTGGCTATTTTTAATCTAATAAATTGAACTGTAAGTGGTTATTTCAATGAGGGAAGCATCCTGTACAATCCTGCTTCCCGTGTTTGCATCTTTTATTACAGTAACTTATTTCTACACAGCTAATAGTAGGCTTCGAAATGACTATTACTGACAATGAAAGTTAGTGAAAGACAAAAAAGCTATTAAGGAGGAAAGAAGAATCTATCAGAAATATGTGGTTCACCTTTTCTTGATGTCTAAGAAACAAGGCAACTCCACAGAGAAGGAACCTAGTTGACAGCAACGTTCTGATAAGTCAAGAAATTCAAAGCAACTGTTAAATTTGGCCATTAGGCCAGGGATGAACAGACTGAGCGTCCCTGCCCTCAGGGAGTGTTTTAGGTGGGAGCACCTTACAGTGCACTGTAAGTAGAGGTGAGGAGTACAGTAGAGGTGAGGACTGGAAACAGCCGGCTCCAATCTCCCACACATCTCCTTGGACAGCTCCAAGATAGGAGACTGTCAACCTTTGGTCTGTCTTCCCAATCACTGGATCAACTTGTCTTGAAGCTGAAGTACATGAATTTTACTCGGGACCAGCATCCGTGATGGAGCCGCCCCATGCTGCTCTAGGAAAAGCCATTACTCAACGGAAGGCAAACGTGGATGGGGGCTTGCGCTGGGAACACAAGCTACACATCACCCTCCATGTCTTCCCCGTTCGTCGGCTCCACATTTGTAACCCACCAGGCACGGGCCAGTCTTTTGAGAAGTCTACAGAAGGAGTGATAGCGTACTAAATTACTCCATAATTTCTTGTGTTTTGGAACACTTTTCTATCCCAAACTACAGAAGATCAGAATACTGGAAATAGATTTTATTTTAACTCATAGATTAATAAATGCCCCCAAGTAATTTAAACGAATTAGAGGCTACATGGGATAGTAGAAAGAACACCAGAGTGGAAGTTGGGACATGTGAGCTCTTACTACATTCAGCCAGGAACTACTGACATGTCTATGCAAATGATTCAGCCAGGAACTACTGATATGTCTATGTAAATGGCTTTAATCTCTTGGCATCTGGGACTGAATATGGAAAATAAAGCAAGTTAAAGGGGAAGCCCAGTAAGGTCTCATCCCTGGTTAAAGTTTACCACTCGAAGGAGCATCAGCTCTGTGTTTGCTCAACATACAGTAATTAGCTGAAGAAGTAAAGCAAAGCCCAGCTTCATGGGCTCCTGGGGGTCTCTGGTTGTGGGCCACTGTATTGTGGGTCCAGCGAGTGCTGGACACAGAACTCTCTGCAGTAGGTGCTGAGTGACAAGCCACCCCGACATGGGCTGGTTGAACCAGGAATGGCCATCCAGAGCTCTTCCATCGTTCACTAAGTGGGCTGACACAAGACCTTGTCCAAAAGCTTTGTCCTCAACACAATCAATATTGTGTGGTTTCTGTTAAATTAACAACCTAAATTACAAATAAAGAGCAAAATAAAACTGAATAATAGAAAGCAGTGAGACAGATGTGTCTCAGATGGAAAGGAGATTATGAGATGCAAGGGGGTAGCCCGAGGGAAAGGGGTGAGAAACGGGATTAAAGTGTGTCAGGTGTATGCACTGACTCCACACACTGCACACTGCAAACGTGCACCAGTAGACATTTTTTAGAAAGAAATATGGGCCCAATCCACCCACTGTCATAGAGAATCTGAATGTAGGACTTTGGAGAAGAGAGAATTAAAGGATGTTTCTTCCTTGTTAATAACTAGTAAATAATTTTTAACATCTTCAAGAGACAATAGACCCCATGTAGCCAAAGACCACTCCCCCTTGCCCACTGTGGGATCTCCGATCAGCTACACAGAGCCTTGTATTAACACAGCCCTGAGGGAGAAAGAGGGATTAAAGGCCGAAGCCATGAGAATGAAGTGCGCTGGGAGCTCAGGATCTGCTAGGACACAGCCTTGGCCTGCTTTGTTCCTGTTATGGTAACCAAGAGCAGAAGCCATTGGTTCTTCTAGCTTAAGGCTGTACCCAGTACTTTCACACCTTTTATTTATCATGTGGAAGAATCATTAGATAACTTTCTAGTTATCAGTGTCTCTGCTCTGACCAAACACAAAAATAATGCTGAAAATCACAGAAGAACTCGGCTCTTGAGAAGACGTAGCCCTCCCAAGAGCTACTCCAGACAGACAAAGCAAACAGTAGCATACGTTAGGAAACAGTTGCAAGATGTTTGCTCTTCGAGAGTTCTGTCTTCTTTGGGGTTTTTTGTTTGTTTTTGTTGTTGTTTTGGGGGTTTTTTGGAGTTAGAAAGGTTTCGCAGAGCCATCTGACTTTTGGCAAGGATTTATTTAATACCGATTTCCTGACATTACCAGGAACAATTAAAGTTTAGAGATTCCCTGGATTTCCTTGTGTGTTTGGAGTGGGTCTAATGGCCCATCTGCAGCTCCGCCGTCCCCTGCGCACATATGCTCCATAATTTATGAATGTGCTTATTTACGTGTTTCAATTCTTACTTTCCGTTGTTTTGAAAAATAACTGCTCCCTTATATCTTTCTCTGACATATATTTTAATCGTGGGGCATAACAAGACAAGAGTTGGCAGGCGCAGGAGCGGAGCTGACACTTGCCTGCCTAGAGCAAATACCAGGACTAGATGCGCTGTAACTTCCAGGGGACCCTCCGCGGGCCCCGCCCCACCCTGGCTCCTGCTTTGGGAACCAATACTCACCAGCGGTAGTTGGGGGCGCCGCACCTTCCTCCACCAGGAGAAACACGTGAACTTGCTCTTCCCCTGCAACTGAACACAAAAGTCTACAGCGTGAGGGTGACCAAAGATCATCTGTAGGCCAGTGATGTACGCCCGTGGAAAAGACTCACTAACTGTTCACAATGAGAGAGAGCTCTCCTTTAATTTAACTATTAATTTCTACTATTTGATGTGTACTGCTTTTACCTAATAAATGTCATTGCGGTACTCTTTACCATAACTGCCGCATAAATACCCAGGGAGGGAAGCGTCTGGCCATGCGCGCCCCGGAGGCCAGCGGCGTCTGGGAGGCCGCCCTTCACATCCAATTCCTCCCGGTCATTTGCTAAACTCAAGTCTGAGAATTCTTGTGTCTTTCGCCAGTGAAGTTCAGATCACCCATGAAATGTATTTTCTTTACCTTTATCCAAACAAATTGTCCTTTTAATGAAGGTTCGCCCTACCCGCCTTCCTCCTCCCATCTTCCAAAGCAACTGAGCACATTTAAAAGACCTGGGGTTCATTAATTTTAAGTGTTCAATAAATTAGTGGAAATAATCAAAAGCCCTGATTCTTTCTGATAATGACAATTTGATGTCAGTATAAACCAGTAGATTAAGCCGGGAACATATGCTTCTTTTCCAAGAGAGGCTGCTATAATTAAATAGTGAACACATCTACAAGGTGCTCTCACGCCTGATTAATTAGTAATCAGGTGCGTGAACTTCATTTTTCCAGTAACACCTTGTCTCTCATTGGTTAATTACCTTTCTGCCTTATCAGGTGTCCCGAAGTCAGTGCCCCCAGCCCCAAGAGCCTGCAGCTGCCCCAGGCTGTGCCCTCCAGCCCTCGGGCTTTGCTTTCCTAGGACCCTAAAACCTTTCTTCCATCACACAATGGGAGAGATCCAAATCATTCTTTTTAACTGCCGCACATAAATTTCTAAACACTATGAAGAAAATAGCAACTGAAGAATTCCATAAGCAATCTCTGCAATTCTCTCATTTTAATAATTTTATCACTTCTTAATGCTTACGAAATGGGTGTGGTACACACGACTTGTAATCCCAGCACTCGGGTGGTGGAGGCAGAAAGTTCTCCAGGCGTTCAAGGCCTGCCAGAATGACATAGCAGGACCCTGAAGCAACGTAAATGTATGTAAATATATATACACATTTTTCCTTATTCTTTCTCTTTATACTGTCACATCTTCATACATTACTAGATACGGGGTAACATGTTCTTCCTCTTGATATACTGCACCCATTTTCCAACTTCAAAAAGTAATAATAATAGTAATGTCACCAGCCAATCATCTCTTTTTCCTAACAAAATCTGGTTCAACCACTTGTCTATACTGCATTCTCTAAAGTTAAAAAGCACTTCAAGTGCTGTACTACGACAAGTACTTCAAATGCCATACTGCGACATCTACTCCGAGTTTGTTTTAAATTCAGTAACTATTGAGTAGCACCCATTAACATAATGAGACCCTGCTCTAAAGATATCTTT